CCCTCCTCTTCCTCCCAAAGTGCTGGGATTACAGGCCTGAGCCACCACACCTGGGTGTTTTTAGTGTTTCCAAGGATTGCAGCTTGGCTGGCGACAGTCCCTTCAGAAAGGCTTCGCTGCTCCTGTCCTGGCACAGACGCAGGAGACCCTGTGTCTTCAGACATAGCACAGACTTGAGGACCCTACTGAGATGGAGTCAAGAGCTCTCTAGGGTTCTTTGAGTGGGAGTTGAATCGGAAACCACCATCAGCACGCCTGGGCTCGCCTCGTGTTGTTCTACTGCAGTGGGGGAGGGCCATTGTCACCACCGTGAGGACACGATGGGGTCTGGGGAGGGATTATTATGACTGTGGGTGCGCCTTGCACGTCTTGCCGACCTAGCTTTGCACACTGATGTTCCCTCCATGCCCGCTTACATTGTTAACTGGGTTTCTGCCCTCCCTCCTCTCCTTCGTATTTCTGTGTCTCATTGACAACTGTTCTGTAGTCGCTTTGTTGACAGTTGCCAAACTGCTTTCCAAAAACATTTCCACTGCAATCCCGGGTTTTGGTGCCAGCCGCAGTGGTGTGAGTACTCTCGCTTTATTATAGTCTTGCCAGCACTGGGCGTCTCTGTGTATCGTAAACACATGTGATCACCACTCTAATCTCTCCATCCCCTGGTAATTAAAGATGTGCCGTGTATCTCTGCTCATGTTACCTTGGCCTTGGGGGGAGTTGGCTGGACCAGGCTCATGGGCTCGAGGGAGAGGAGGAGGGCGAGGTGCTGCCCAGTGGAGTAGCAAGCATCCATGGCATGGGCAGGACTCGGGAGAGGAGGCTGGCAGCTCGCAGCAGAGCACGGGGCTCAGCTGGCCTGCCCTGTGCTTGGGGGTTGTTTTTGAGTGTTGAGAAGAGGTCCTTACACCTTAGTCTATGCATTGAGGATAAGGCAGCAGCCTTGAGCCTTACCTCCTTTTCCTCTTTGTCCTATTTGAAATGCTTGTTCCCTGGTGCTGTAAAGAAACAGTATTGAACATTATTTAGTAAGGCCATTTTTACTTCCTGTAGAAAGGGTACACTCACCAGCAGTTTTGCCACGAGAGTGCACCAAACAAAGGAGACAGGGTCATTTATAATCTGACGTGTCCACGCTGCTTCTGTGTCTGGTTTTCATTGGCTGGAATGGGACCTCACATTCTCTATCTGTCCTGATTGGCTAGCAGCTTAGAACTTTTAAAAGAGGCAAAGGTAGAGGAAAACAAAGGAAGGAGGAAGTAACTCGTGGAATGCTGAGAAAGGTAAAAACACTTTCAAATAAGGAAGAGGAACAGGCTATGACCTAATGTTTGATTGGACCAGTATAAGCATGTTGGGGCAAATATTTAGGCTAAATTGTGGGAGCTGAGAATACAAAGTACATTGATCATCATGGCTAGCAGATATTTAAGAACGTTAGCACAGGTCTTTGAATACATTTAGCTTCTAAGAGAAGTTACTATTTATTCCTAATTAAATGGGGACGAAAGGCTTTGAAGAACCTCTACTTTACTTTTCACAGTCCCCCAGTATGACGCCGTGCCCATGCAGTCCAGCATGGTGTTATGTTCCTGCCCGTCCCCATCAATGGTGAGGACCCAGACTGAGTCCAGCACAGCCCCTGACATTCCTGATGGCAACAGGCAGGGCCCCGCCGTGGACAGCACCGCATCTGAGGCGGCCTGAGGACTTCAAGTTTGGGAAAATTCTTGGGGAAGGCTCTTTTTCCACGGTGATTATTTGCTGCTGCTGTGTGTCAAACGAGCGTGATTTCCTTGGGAGGCTCACCTTCCTCGGGGCTTACCGGAGACTCCCACCAAGGCTGGTGTCCTTCAGGGCAGGAGGTTTCAGGCCCCTTGAGGGATGTCAGCTGTTGTGAAGGCCTCTTGAGTCTTTGGGGGCTGGGTAACCCCCAAGCAGATCACGTGATGGGTGTGGCTAAATATTTAACCTGGTTTTGTAGATGAGAACATTAGACACATCTCTTGATGGTCTGCGGAGGTTTTTTCTAATGCAGTTAATTTCATTTTAACCTGGCATCGGCAAGTTACATTCTGTGTCCTTGTGTTCCACTGGCAGGGCCCTGGGAAGCTTTTTTTTTCTTAGGTTGAAAGTATCTCTCCAGAGGCTTTTGGGGACATTTGATCTTCTTTTATTTCTCTGTTTTTTTTAAATACATAAAACAGTACACTCTGGACATCTGCTGGAGACACAGCCTCCAGATTCTTGTGTTCCGAGTTTCACAAACAGAAGTATTGTCGCAGTACTGTCAAGTCACACTTGTTACCTGTCTCGGGGTGTTTTTTCCTCTGAAAGCAAAGAAATGAAGGTTCAAAGCAGCTGACATGGGACGCTTTGCTGACGTGGGACCCATGAAGCCGTGTGTGGCTGTGGATTTAGTGAAAGTTGTAACAGGTTCAGGGGAGGCCTGAGCAACTCGGGGTCACCCTCTCCATCTGGGCCTCTATAAAAGAGACAGAGTCCCACGCCGCCACCGTGGTCGCCAGGGTGGCCGCCGTGTGTGTGCTAGGGCCATTCCAGGGAGCCCTGGGGGATCCTCACTCTGGAGAACCTGGGTGATCTCCTGCATAATGTTTTCTTGCCTGACCTTTGTGAAGAAACCATACGTGAGGCTTATTTTCCTTTTTTACATATATGAAATATTTCACAATGCAAAGAAAAATATGAAACATAGCTTACCCATATTCCCAACATCTTGCTTTAATTAATGTTAACTTTTGCTGCCCTTACACTTTAGATTTTTTAAATTGCAGCTTTTATGAAATAATTTTGTTTATAAAAGGATTACGCTCTCATGAAAAATACCTTCAACCAGGAGACTAGTCCCCAAAGTTTTGGGACTCAGATCCTTTGAGAAAGAAGAAACTCTTTGGAAAACCTTGGGCATTGTGCATGGCTGCTTACAACCGTCCAGTGAAAGAAGAGGCCTCCTCTTTTCTCAGCTTTACTTGTTTCCTTGAGACAGTGTCTTGCTGTGTCGCCCAGGCTTGAGTGCAATGGCATGATCATAGCTCACTGCAGCCTCGACTTCCTGGGCTCAAGTGATCCTCTTAACCGCAGCCTCCCAAGTAGCTGGAATTACAGGAATGCACCATCATGCCCAGCTAATTTTAAAATGTTTTGTAGAGACGGAGTCTCACTCTGTTGCCCAGGCTGGTCTTGAACTCCTAGGCTCAAGTGATTCTCTCTCCTCAGCCTTGCAAAGTATTGGGATTACAGGCGTGAGCCACTGTGCTTGGCCTCAGTTTTACTTCCTTATATTTCTCTTTCCAATTTAAATTTAGTTTATTATGTATGTATTTATTCTTTTAGAAACAGGGTCTTGTTCTGTCACCGAGGCTGGAGTGCAGTGGTGTGATCATAGCTCACTGCAGCCTTCACCATCTGGGCTTATGTGATCCTCCTGCCTTAGCCTCCTGAGTAGCTAGGACCACAGGCGTGTGCCATCACACGTGGCCCTTAACATTTATCTTGACTGAAAAAGGAAGACTTATTTGTGAAATTGCCTGTTTCCCTGGGTTCCGTAGGTGGGTGGAGAGCAGGCACTGTCCCTCCTGGGGCTGCGGTCCCAGGCTTTCTGAACATGCACCAGGAAGGTGCCCGGGAGAGCGCTGTGAGCCGGAGGCTCCTTCCTGGGGCTGTTTGGAATCCACAGTACTGGGTCTCAGATTACATATGTGACCCTCAGTTCTTTCTCAGCTTTCCTGAAATAGAGATCACATAAAAGTTGACTTCCAGGG